AAAGATAAAGACATTAGTTTTTTTAAGCAAAAGCTTGAATCGCTTGAAAAAAGTAAACATGTCAAAAATTGCCAAATTTGATAATGAAAATGCAACAGAGGCATCTTACAAAGTAAGCTATCGTATATCGCTCGCCGAAGAAGCACACACTATTGGGGAATCACTCATAAAACCATGTGCAAAAGATATTGTGATGTGTATGTTGGATCAGGAGTCTAGTAAAAAAGTTGAGGCTGTGCCACTATCAAACAATACTGTCACACGTCGTATTCATGATCTTGCTGCTGACATCGAGAAGGAGCTTATTTTTTGGCTGCATTTATGTGATGCATATGCATTACAATTAGACGAGTCCACTGACGTTGTAGGTCTTGCAGTTCTGCTTGTATTTGTCCGTTATGATTTTAATAGTTCTATTGAAGAAGACTTACTTTTATGTGAATTTTTGCAAACCACTACAACTGGTGAGAATATATTCAATTGTATCAATAACTTTATGAAAACACATCAAATAAGATGGGAAAAATGTGTTGATGTGTGCAGTGATGGTGCCAAAGCAATGGTAGGAACAGTGGCTGGCGCTGTAACACGAATAAAAAATGTAGCACCAAACTGCACCAGCAGTCACTTCATTCTCCATAGACACGCTCTGGTAGTTAAGAATATCTCTCCCTCTCTTAAAAATATGTTGGACGAAGCAGTACAGATTATTAATTATATAAAAACTCGACCATTACAATCAAGACTGTTCAAAATTGTGTGTGAAGATATGGGTAGTCAGCACACAGCCCTGCTTCTACATACAGAAGTCAGGTGGCTATCACGAGGAAAAGTGCTGGTTAGATTATTTGAATTGCGTCATGAGCTCTCCGCAAATCTGATGGATCACAAATTCCAACTGTCTGATCGTTTAACAGACTTTTTGTGGTTATCTAGAGTTGCGTATCTTGCAGACATCTTTACAAAACTAAATGAAGTAAATCTGTCGCTGCAAGGAAAGAATGTAAATATTTTTAATGCGAAAGACAAAATTTTGTCGTTGTCACGGAAGCTACAGCTTTGGATCTCATCTGTAGGACGAAATGATTTGGATTGTTTACCAACTCTGAATGATTTCCTTGAAGAAAATGGATACAAACTTGATGAAGGTATTTGCAGCGACATTGCAGATCATCTCCGCGATTTATACACGAACATCATTAAGTATTTTCCAAACATCAATGACAACAATAACTGGATTCGAAATCCATTAAGTTTAACAGAAAAGCCAGTCAGTTTTTCTACACAAGATTATGAAAACCTAATTGAAATCGCTTCAGATGGCCAATTAATACAAAAATTTAAAGAAGTTTCTCTGATTACATTTTGGAGTGACTTATGTCAAAGTCAAGAATATTCATCTTTATCAAGACGCGCAATTCGTCAGCTGTTACCCTTTGTCAGAACATACTTGTGTGAAACTGGGTTCTCGAACTATGCAGCAATGAAAACAAAATACAGAAATTGACTGAATGCTGCGCCAGATATGCGAATCCAACTTTCTAGTATTAAACCAAATATAAAAAGAATTTGCCAAGAAAAGAAGAAAAACCACTCTTCGCATTGAAAACTATTAATATAATTAATATTATGTGATAGTTTTATTTTTTGTATATATTTAATATGATTTTTGTTGAATATAAATGAATGGTGTTATATTCAATATGTTGAATTTAAATGAATGGTGATCTCATGACCATATTTAGCATCTTATTACTACCAATTGTGGTGTACTAGCAGTCTGTGTGTTTGGGTGTGTTTTTTTTTTGCTCGACAAACTTAATCCCTAGCTAGGGGGTTCCTTGAAATTTTTCTGAGTTTGAAAGGGTTCCGTGGTCAAAAAAAAATTGGGAAACATCTAGCTGCTGGCAGTGAAGCCTGCTGAGTGTGCTGCTGGTCCTAGAGCCTGCCTCTGGCATCCAAGCCCTCCCCCTCCAAACCCAACTCTCTCCTAAACCCTTCCCACTTCTCCCATACTCCCTACCAGATCCTGCATCAGGTCATAACTCCTTTCTGAATCCAAATTCCCTCACCGATCCCGCACCCTTCTCCTGCACCTCAGTTGCCTACCTTCAGCACCTATCTGCACCCAACCTCTGTCCCATACCCACAGCCCCTCCACAGAAAAGTGTGGCCTTTGACCACTTACCAAATCTTGGAGTGGCCCTCCATCAAAAATTATTGCCCACCCCTAATTTAGACAGATGTACTTCTCTCCATTGTTGGCACTCAACAGCCAAGACATGCTAAATAATAATCCATAAACCTAGCTATATAGTACTTTTTCCATCAATATATCTCAAAGAATTCTGCATCATTATCCCCATTTTACCCATGGGGAATTGAGGTACGGTAAAGGTAATAGAAAAGTTAAATGACTTGTTCACGGTCACCCAGGAAGGCCAGTGGCAGAGCCAGAAAGGGTCCCAGTGGTTTTGCCACAAGATTGTTAAGTAATTCCTTAATACTCCTTCCCCACTTCTGTATATATTGTTATGGTGGAATGAGAGAAATGGTCATGTTTTTAAATATATGCCATGTGTAGTTACTAACAGGGTCAGAGAAATCTCTTCCATGGTCTATGTTCCAAAACCTTAACAGTTTCATTATATGGCTGTTTCAACTCACATAAAGCTGCTGTGAGAAGACTAGTGTTTCCACTCTTGCCCCACCATTCCCCACAACATGCAACCAGCTCCCTGTGTCCTTCAAATCCCAGTAAGTCATTACTTGACACTGGAAAAGTCATTAATATGTAAGAAGTTGCTCCTTGCTTTTTCCTGCTCTCTTCTGCTGTACACACACCACAGGTAATTGCTTACTGGAAGGCCACCTGCTACCTTGTTTACATAGCCTGAGCTGGGCCCCTTGATCTTATTACCCAGCCACAGCTGGGATTCCTACCTTCTCAATATGCTGCTGTCCTCATAATACATTTACCCAAAATAAAAATCCCCTTTTCATAGGAGGCAGATTGGAGTAATATGCTACTTAATTCAAATTTCTGCCCTGGGTTGGATTTTGGATTTGAACTCAGTGTCCTGGATGATCTTGGATTTGATGACCAATACTCTCAGCCACCCAGATCCGGCAATGGGTAGGTAGTTTTTCAGATACTAAGCCTGCCCTCTGCACATTCTCTGTATAATTCATTAAGTGCAAGATCAGGCATGCAAGCTTTACTGTGCCAAACTGGAGAAGAAATTTATTTTTCAAACTGTACTGAAATTTGAATGCTCCCAAAGGGCTGGTGAGTGCCACACATTCTGCTGGAGTAACTCTCAAATTTTGAGATCCAGATGAAATATATGAGCCTTCATTTGCTTTTCATTTGTGAACAAAAAAATGTTGCTAGAATATATCTACTTCAAGAAAAATCAGTTTTTTCCAAAGACTATCTTGGGAATTATTTGATCAAATGACTCCAAAATTGAATCACTGACTGTACCTGCTCCCCGCCCCCCGCCCTCATGTGGTACACCAAAATTGAACGCAATCTGGTTAACCACACAGCTCTGTAGAGCTCCAAAAGATGGTCTTAACTAAAACAGAGCTGCAGCTCGTCTATAAAAAAAGTTTTGTTTTGTTTTAAAAGAAACATTCTTAACTTTAGAGCCTATAGGATTAAGAAGTTTTAAAACATAATATCTAAACCCTTCCTCTACATTAAAGTAGGACATACTTTACACCTTCATTGGCTTGCTCCAGAGGGGTAAGCAGATTCAAGCAATATTTATGGCTATTACAGATCATACAGTCTCTAGAAATGATACCCATACCAACTCAAACAGCATCTTCCTTTCAAACAGGAACATGATTTTCCACATGCATGGTTTTATTTTCAGCTTTCAATAGTGACAATATGACTGACTGTGGCTAATGGTCTGATGCTGATGCCTACAATATTATAATTACATATACACTGGTGACAGTTCCAACGTGTAGTATTTTCTGTTAGACCTCTTTAGAGCCCTTATGTATACCTGTACACACAGCTAACTGAAAGATATCACTGTCTTACAACACTCCATACTTTATAACTTCAAATTTATCAGAAACAAAGTACAAGGTCAGAATATAAAAACAGTAATGGCAAAGGCTTGCTGTACTAATGTCACTGTTTTTAATTACTAACACTAAATGTTAAGTCTGAAAGCTAGTGTCAAAAAGAGCAATTCTCCCTTGATCAAAATTCTCACTTTGCTGAACACATCATTTATCATGTGTGTCTTCCTAACAGCACGCCTGTTTTCCAAAGGCTTTTCTGGAACCTTCATTTCTCAGAGTAACCTAACAATAAAAAAGTGTACAGAATGTTCTTTGCTTTCCTGACTAATTTCCTCCCACAGTCCGAGAAGAAGGAAAATTATTTTCGTAAATGTTTCAGAGACTGAACTGATAACTCAAGCCTTTTACATTTTTAGCATTGCTAAATTTAGACTAGGTTGACTTAGAATATACACTTATATGTAAGACACAGACACACATCAACAACACTATGGATTGAACTGAAGTATTAGGCCATCAAGTGAATTATCCAAGGTAACAAACCAAACGCATGGGTAACTGCTCATTAAAACCCTTATTATTTTAATTCTTTAACTACAAGGCCAACTATTTTTAATAAAAAATTGATTATTTATAACTTGATTTATTGACCTAAATGATTAAACCCTTATAATTGGCAAACAGCCCTATAAATTTGCCTGATATGACCACTGTATGTGCAGTTAATTCTGCACTGACACTTTCAAAATTGGACTTGTGCCTTTCCTAAAGGAAGTACATATTTTACCTGTGCACATAATGCAGCTGATGAATGGAATGTATAGCAAGCACCATTTCACCAATGTAGAATTTGGCCATGTCTTCAGGAAGCTTGTCTTCAAACTTACTAAGAAGCGTCAGCAAATCACCACCCACATAGTAGTCCATTACTAAATACTAAAAAAATAAAAAATAAAAACAAAGAATAAAAAAAGATTAATACATGTTTGAGTCAAAATGGATAAACATAGTAACTACATGCAAGTAGCTGATCACGGAACAAGGATGCTTTGTAGAAAACATACGTATGTGAAGAGAGGTCAAAATGGCCATTTTTATGAAGTTACTATTAATTGCCTATTTTGCTGCAAATATTTCTGATTTTCTTTAATATAAGCATTGTGAAGACAATACATTCTAAGCACTTTCAAAACTGATCATGATCATAAAAATGAACAGAGAATATATAGCAGAGTGCATTTAAGTCAATGATTTATGACTATCTATCTTAGTTATACACAGAAGAGATGGAAACAGGCCCATTTTCTTTAAGGAATTGGCTTTTGTGAAGTTCTACATTCATAACAAAACAAAAATAAACAAAACTCCTGACCAAATCTAGCATACTAGCTTTCAAAGTGTGAGGCTTCTTATGGACAGAAAAGAGGAAACTAGTTAAAATTAATTCTCTATAACAGTTTTTAAAAACCCTTTAGACATCACAACATTAAGTCACTGATTAGTTTGAACAGGAAACATTGAATTCCTCTAGTAGAATAGGAAACATTTGGAATGAGGAACAAATAAGATCTGCAATTAAATTCCTGTTTAGACAAGAAGTGTGTTTGGATTATATGAGTATTTTGCGGTGTTGATAAGCCTGTGAGCAGCAACAAAATATGAGCCTGGAACACTTATTTTATGTTAACAGCATTTGCTTCAGCAAACCAACTTTCTTCACATATACTACATTGCTTGCTAATGGAAGGAACTCGATTTGCACTATGAAATACGTCAGTGGAATAAAAGATGCATTTCTAAACAAATACTTTCAATTAATTTAGTGTTCAAATACATTGACAGTCCACGGTCTTGTGTATGCTACTATTTTTCTTAGCATTGTAGGTAGCTTGAGAAGGAGATTGCTAGAGCAGATAAGTCAGCATTTTAGCCACTATGAGCTAGATGAGTGGTTTTCAAAGTGTGGATAACAACACAATACTGGGTCGTGGAGTGTAAAGCACTGGGTCACCCTGGTCAGCCTTCCAGGGACCCTGGTGGCTCTGGTCAGCACTGCCAACCTGCTCTTTGAAAACCACTGGGCTAGTCCCAGTGTATTCTGACGCCGCACTGCACCCAGGAAGTGACCAGCAGCAGGTTCTGCTCCTAGGCAGAGGGGTCATGGGACTCTGCACACTGCCCCCACGCCAATCACCAGCTCCATAATTCCATTGGACAGGAACCGGACAATGGGAGCTGGGACAGCAGTGCCTGTGGGCAAGAGCTGCATGGAGCTGCTTGTGCATTTCCACTTAATGAGTTAGAAGTGCTGTTGGCCGCTTCTGGAATGCAGCATGGTCTGTGATGCCAAGAAAGGCAGGAAGCCTGCATCAGCCCCCCTGCTATGCCACTGACTGGGAGCTGTCAGAGGTAATCTGATGCCCCAATCCCCTGCCTGAGCCCTAAGCTCCACTCAAGCCCAGAGGCCTGCTCCTGCACCCTAAGCCCCTCATCCCTGACTACACCCTAGTGCCCCAACCTCTTCTGTACCTCAATCCCATACCCTAGACCGGGGTTGGCAATCTATGGCTCACTAGGGGACAGATATGGCTCTTCTGGAGCCCTAACTCAGCCCCCCCACCATTTCTCCCCACAGCACTGGTGCTACAGTCTAACAGCCCAACGCAAGATTGGAACACCAGCACCAGCTTCCAGGTCAGGAGGGAGAAAGTCCCGAGTCTCTCTACTGAATCCAGTGAGAGGGGAACAAGTGGAATCAAAAATGGTTCCATGTGCATTGCCATTTTCCTTTCCCCCAGGACACTTCCTGGAGGCTTCCCCTGAGAATTCTTCCTGGAGGCTTCCTTCCAGCAAATGGGAGCAGCAAGAGGCTGTGTTATATAGTGTCTGTGATGCAGCACGAAAACAAGTAAGTGCTTCCCCCCCACCAGGTCCAGACCCCACACCCTGAGCCTGTCACTCACCTCCTCCTGCCCCAACACCTTGCCCCGGTCCGCTCCGGGCCAGACACCCAGCCCCTTCTCCCCAGCCAAACAGCTTGCCCCCAGGCCGCTTCTGCACCCTCCCCTGCTCCTGCCCCCTCCCACCAGCCAGACACTCTACTCTCAGCCTGTTCCTGCCCCCTATTTCTCACCCAGACCTTGCACCCTCACCCCCTCCTATACCTGCTATCCCATGCACTGGCAGCCCTGTCCTACACACTTAACCTTTCATTTTTGGCCCCACCCCAGAGTATGGGGGGGGGGAGGGGAAGGGAGCATGCAAAATCCACTAACCCTGGAACTCCAGAAGAGTAAATCTGGCCTGAGGTCTTGAACCTCAGTCCTTCCTGCTCCTCACCCCATCACAGGACTGAAGCACCAGCGGAGTGAGGTATTTCAGTTGGGGGCCACATCAGTGATGGTTGGAGGGTTTTGGAGGAGGGTTTTGTGTGTGTCTGTCCGTCTGACTTGTATGGTCCCTGACTGATTTTTCTGAAGGTCAATGGCCTCTGCCCCTAAAAAGGTTCCCCAGCCCTGCCATAAAGACAGATAAGGCTGAAACCTTTTGTGTTGGACATAATTTTTTACTTTATTTTAAAATGAAGCCTGACCAACAAGCCCGCCAATTGGGGCCCGGTGCCCATCTGGACACAGTGTCTTAACACTCCTGCCTCCCTCCCCCCCACCAACCTCAAGCCCATCATACATCTGAACCCCCTACCCCAAGCTCCTCATTCCCCCACATCCTCAAACTCCTGCATCTCCACATCCCCAGCAACCTGCCATAACACTCCTGCACCTCTCCCACACCCCAACCCCCTGCCCTGATCCCATCATACACCTGAACCCTGCCCTGAGCTCCTCATACATGCTAACCCAGACTCCTGCACCCCCACATCCCCAGTCCCCACCATAAGATTGACAAAAGACAGCCTAAATGCATGTGTGAAGCTGAATTTGACCAGTTATAATGTAAACTTCAAAGAAATATATGAAAAGATGCAGCAGCAGAAGTCCCATTAAATAAGGTCTGTGAGTACGTTTCATTTATGCTATTGATCATGTCAATTATCAATAATATTAAGTTGTATATTTTCAGTCATGCAAATAGGCATTCTTTTATGGCTCTTTGTTGACCACTTGTTCTGAATTTTGAGGCAGTTTGGCTCTTTGGTTTGAAAAGGTTGCCGACCTCTGGTTTCTGCTGATAATGGAGCAGAAGTGTAATTTGGGAATTTCTGAATGTGCACTGGGAACAGTGTGTTGGCCACAAAGATACATTTACATATTAAAGTTCAACCTACTCAATGTATAAAATGTCCAGATTTTTTTTTTTTTTTTTTTTTTTGCATCTGAGCTGGTTTAATGGGTCTTATCTAAAATAGAGAAACTGCCAACAATGGAGTAACTGCCTGGTGCCTGCAATAATGTAACAATTAGTTTAGACAGACTCAAACACCCTTAGCACAATGTCATAATAACCTGCTCTGTGTAGGTTTTTTTATGACAGTAGAGAAAGTGTCTGAGCCCCACCGCCACAGCTTCAGCTGAGCCATTACTTGCTGTTGCTGTAATATGTATGCTACTTTTTCTAGTACAGACACACTCTGAGGCAGCACAGTAGAATGTTACCCAGAAGCACCACATTCCCCAAAGCCTTCAGCTGCAATCAAAAGAAAAATACTGTTAAAATGCTTGGGGGATTGAAGGCAGGGTGCAGAATGGTCAAGACTGAACACTGAGCTTCAGCTCAGAGAAAGTGTGCTAGAATGCCATTCATTTTATGAACCTTCCGGGAGTAGCTGAGTTAGTCTGTAAAGGATAAACTTAAACAACAGGTTTTTTAGGTGCTTATAAATTTTTAGGTGCTTATAGATTACCAGTTTTTCCTGTTTGATTTTCCCTTTGATATTTACATACCCTCTGCTTCTTGTTTCCTGCCCTCTCCCTTCTCCCCTATTTATTTTGTGTCTGGACATCCTAAACTCAAAACTCCGGTCATCTGAAGAAGTGGGCTGTGCCCACGAAAGCTCATGATACCATCTACATGTTTTGTTAGTCTATAAAGTGCTACCAGACTATTTGTTGTTTTTTAACTTTATTCATTTTATGGTACATCAGGGTACAAAGTACAGATATCACACACTCACTAGCATAGGTATCATTAGAAGTGTAGAATGAAACTGCTGTATGAACCTGAACCCTAGAGCATAGACCCTACTTGTCCCGCTGCATGGTCACACTGGGTACTCCAGCCCCTGTCCGCAGCCAGCCCCAGCTGCCACGAACAGAGGCTGCTCTGGCAGCAGCCCCTGTTCATGGTGGCCCGGGCTGGCTGTGGCAGAGGCTGCTCTGGCAACAACTTCTGCCTATGGCGAGCCTGGGCCCGATGCAGATAGAGGCTGCTTCGCAGCAGCCTCCCGTGCCCCCTCCCATGCTGCTACCTCTGATAAAGGCAGCAGCGTGTGTGGGTGGGGGAGAGGAAGGAGGCAGGCAGCGAGTGGAGGGGTGGGGTGAGTAGTCGACTCGATAAGTTTATACTTATCGGATAGTCGATTACTCACTTACATCCCTACTCTACACCCTGCGCTGCTGCCTCTGGGACTGCATGTAAACATGAGGGTTAACCAATGAGCCCAGGCTCATCTGTTAACTGTGTATATGGATACACATTCACATCCCTACTCTAAAATCCTGAGACTTATTTAATGGTGAAGATAACATACCAAATAGTTCTCATCCTGAAAGGCATAGTGCAACGTAGTAATCCACTGACAATCTCCATTCACCAAAACATTTCTCTCTTCTCGGAAACAAGCTGTCTGAAGGAAAGAAGAAAAAAAAAACACAGTGTCAAAGGCCACAAGTAGTCTTTGCAGGATTCATAAATATGCATGTTTTATGGGATTATTTAAAATTTCCATACAAAGGTTTCTATTCATTGGAATTTAGTCTGTAAAACTGATAAGTCAAAGAAGCTCTTCTGTCTTCTATAGTTACACATACACTCCTCCTAATCCTGAATGCTTTTTTAAAAACAATTTAGCTTGAACCATTAAAGTTCTTTCTTCTCCTGTATTAAAAATATCTTTGCATCCCACCACAACCAGTAGCAAAAGGATGAATGCAAAGAAGGATAAGAGCTGTGTGAAAATATATCTATGAAACCACAGTTTAATGTTTCAGTTTCTAATAGTTCCTCAAGATAATAAAAAACAGTGGAGGGCAACCTGTGCCCCTTCAGAGTAATTTGCTGTTGGGCCATGAAACATTTTGTTGATGTTGACCATCCACAAGTCACAGTCTCCTGCAGTTCCCAATGGCCGCAGTATGCCATTCCCGGTCAACGGAAGTTGCTGGAAGCAATGGCCAGCATATCCCAGTGGCTCACCTCTTCTCACAGCTCCCATTAGCCAGATATTAAGAAGTAAGCTATAGGGACATGCTGGATACTGCTTCCTGCAACTTCTGTTGGCTAGGAATGACGAACCGCAGCTGCTGGGAGCTGCAGGGGACCATGATGGTCAATATCAAAGTGTTTTGCATCCCACCAGCAGAGTATCCTGATAAGTCATATGTTGCCCACCACAGATATAAACCATGAAGGAAATATATGAAAATCTATATTGTTTCCCACACTAATATTCTGGGGGGAAAAACAACCCTGCACTTTTAGCAGTCTTTCCCAACTTCAGACAATGCACAGAGTAAGTATGATATGTATTCAAGATTACCTAAGCTCAGTTCCATATACATTTACATAAATCAATCTCATTTGATTGTTGGGAAGAAAATTCATCTTGAGTTTATTAATGGTTTTCTAGACCCAAAATACTGGTCAAAACTGAATCCTTGGGGTTTTTTACCACCAAAAGTTTAGGATGCCACTATCAATATATTCTCTTTATTTCCATTCCCCATCATCAAACACTCGCAGTGGATAAGAGTGTTTTTACTGGTATTGATCTATGAATTCTCCAACAAAGTTCATTAAGAGAGCACCCAGGAATCTTATACATCACCACCCTCATCGTAGAGCTTCACTATTACAATGTTTTAATGTGAATTTTCCAAAGAAAAAGTCTCAAGTTTTTTTGGGTTTTGTTTTGTTTTTTAATTGGAAAACCTTTCCAGTGGAAGTGTAATATACTGCAGTCAAGTTGGAATAATTAAGTTCTACAGTGGGTATATAACAGAACCACTCACATACGATGTGTATTATGATATAATTATGCTGTGAATAAGAATTACATTTGTGCTAATACTTTCATGTAACACTTATTTTGTGAAATTTTCTGGCCCATGTAATGCAAGAAGTCAGACTACACAATAGAGTGGTCTCCTCTGCTCTAAGATTTAGGAGTCTATGAGTAAATTGATTTTCTTCCAGTTTTCAGAATTGTATATTTCCATTACTTTAACATTTTTAAAACAATACACTTGAAATACATAACCTAAGTAACTGTAAGACCCACTTAACTGAAACAATTACAATTTATTGACTAAAACTGGATACAAATGGCACACTTTTTCTATTAAGCAGCATTCCTCATCTTGCCTTCAAGCTAGGTTTACAAGTGTTTGCTAACAATTTTTCCCACATTGCCCTTTGTTCACGTCAAACTTCACTTGTTCTTCTTACAGCTGATATAAAAACTGGTATGACCCAAATACATTGTTATGTTTAATGAATTATACAATGCTTTCCACTACAATTCATAAACTAAATCAACATAAAACCAGCACAATGCATTCATGGAGCCTCTAATGACAGCATGAAAAAGTACCTAATATCTTTTTTTCAGTAAGGTGTGTGTACTTAGCCCCTTCATCTTTAAATGAAAACTGTAACAACAGATGAAAATGAAAGCTTGCCACATGTTTTAACAACTTGATATGCAAGTCTTGAGAAACTGACTGATCTGCTTGCCCTTGGTAGAAGGTGCTAACCTGGGGCAAGCTAATGTGCTAAAAAGAGAGGTGCTGAGTGGCCCTGCTGCTCCATTTTCTAAGAACAAGTCAGAGAGCACAGAACCTAGCTGTAATGACGGCAGCTTTTCCAGGAGAGAAGTAGTGGTTTATAGGAGGAGTTGACAGAATTACTGTTCAAACTCTAGTTCTTATGCAGATTCATCTTTTGCCTATTCCTGAGGTGACTCTACTAAATGCTCCTGACTGGGGAGGAGCTAAGTGACCCAGGCAGCGTGCACAGGTGACATGTTGCTTCCCATAGTTTCCTCCTCTTCCACTTAGGACACATCTATCCCATGACAAAATTACAACAATCTAACTCAACTGGTTCAAAAACTGATTGAAATAGTGCCACCCTGTGCTTGGACACTAATTTTGGATTAAAAATGCCTCTCAGTGACTCTCATGAATTGGGTAAAGTAATCCTAGCATAGCTACCCCTCAGACTTTTCAGAGTGATTTATTTTAAATTCATTCCTTACTACTTACGGAATTAGCACTTCTAAACTAATGTAGTTAGATCTGTACCATTTCACTGTGAAATGCATGATGCTGCAAAGCTGTGACAGAAGTCAGGAAAGCAGCAACAGCCACCTCCCTCTCCAGGAAGTCTGTGAAGAAAAGTCTAAATGGATAGCTAGAAGGAAGTGATTTTATCCGACAACCACTATCATCACAAGGTTGATAAGGTAAAGATGTGTGTAAGAAGAGTAGAGAACTTGTTCACTGAGGGAGGGACAAAACTGATATATTGGAGTGTCTAGTGGTCCATATCTTTTTTTCCTGGGCCAGGGGCGGATGTAGGGCAGGGTGAGCAGGGTAAAGGGGGAGCCCCGCGAAATTGTGCTGCCCTGGGCCCCGCAAAATTGTCATCTGCCCCTGGGCTACGCTTAAATTAGATCACCCTAACTATATTGTTGAGGGCTGTGAAAAATGTCATGCCCAGAGAGCCTTAGTTAGATTAACCTGACCCACATTGCAGATGCAGTAGTTGACAAAGATTCTACCAGTGACTTAGCTATGGCCTCTCAAAGAGATGGATTAACATCTATAGAAAAACCCTTCCATCAATGTAGGAAGCATCTATATTATGGCGTTGCAGTAGCTGTACTATAGACATGGCCTCAGTCCTCAGCAAGGAGGAGTCAGGAAAGCTCTCAAGCTCTCTTGATGCTGTTTTAAATTTATGAATCATTTTACCTCTTTCCTCAACAATAGCCTGCATTGTTCATGGGCCGCATTTTACTTTACAAAGATTTACGTAACAAATTACTAGATCTTGCATTTCACCAATGAAATAGCAATTATTCTAAGTAGACCTGAGAGTATGTTATTTTGGATAATTCCTCTCAGTAGGACCGTTAACCACTATTTATTAATTTGTAAAGTGACTGCTAGATAAGCATATGTATGTGCTTTTTGGAAAAATATGAGTAACTTCGAAAGAAAACACACAACTAACTTCTTTCAGAGGTTTTGTTTACACAACTATCTATGCACCTACTTTTCTTTCTGTGTTTCCAGAATATTCATTAGTATTAGAATATTAGTAATGCAAATCCCATTACGTGTAGGATACACGTCTTGAAGGCTTTGTTTGTCATCAATAGGAACAAATTATTCATTTTCAGCAAAACAATTTTCACATAGCCATAACAAAAAAAATCTGAGGCTTCCATGTAGTCTTTAACTTCCCTTTACTGTAAGCAAAAATCTGGCCAATATAATTCAGGGTAAAAACTAGGGCAGACTGTCTGGTAAGTGAATGCACAGTAATGCTGAGAACAACAGATGCCTAGAAGGGACTGTCAGACTTGATTGCATTAAAGCAGCTCACTTTAAAAAAAAATGAACCTCCTATACTTATGAAATAATTCTTTCTAATCTGGAAGAGCTTCAGTGTAATTTTCCTTAATGCCATTTTAAAAAATGTTCTGCATTAGAAAACATATTACTTACCTCTGCCCTTTTAAGCATTTCCCATTTATTTAGAATTTTCATTGCATAAATGCGCTCTGTGCACTTCAGTTTAACAACCGCAACCTGGAATAATAATAATTTTATTTAACAAAAATAAGCCAAAAAGAATTCAGTGGTTTCAAGATTTTTTTCAAACAGCTGACGAATGATACACAATATTGTTAATAAAACCATGATTAATGACGCGTAAGTAATTAGTGAACAAGAGTCAGTGAACAACTCCCTGAACATACTGATAAGTTATTTTTTCCCTTTTAAGAAGAGAGTTGTAAAAGCAGATTACTACTCATGTACATGACACAGTAAGCCATGTGTGGTCAACTGTTCATGATTAAATGGATGGGGGGTGGTACAGAAGGAGCATGAAGTCTTTCATATAAAGATATGTCGTAAAGCTACACTATTGGCAAAGAACAAGCAATGTCTGTATACTATGCCTTTAGCCAATGAAACAACATTTAAAATGGCAGCCACACAGAACAGAAAAACTGATCAACCAAAAGGAAAACAAATTATAAGCCAGCCAGAAACACGTTAATGTAACCAGACACCTGAAACTGGAAAGCTTTTATATGCTGCATACTGACTTTAAACACTGAAGCAGTGCTGTTTGGAGTGCACACTATTTTATCCTACAAATTGAAAAAATGCTTATAATGCTCTGTCTTGGACAGCAGTGATGTATATGGCTATACAGCGGAAAGACGGTGGAAGAGAACATTCTCCAGTGATGTACCATACTAATATGAGAAACGTGTTTATACTAGAGACCTTAGAGCAGGACAGCTGTATCAATGAAGCTGCGCCACTGTAAGAACTGCGGTGTAGAGGGAGGAATTCTCACGTTAGTTAACATAGCCCTGTGAACACTAAAACTTATGCCAGTTTATGGCACTTGAGAATGTGTTTGTTTTTCACATCCTCAAGTGGCAAAAGTATTGTCTACATAAGGAGTAGTGTAGACATGGTCTAAGGTAAAGCAGCATGATGTCCTTAAATTGCAGTGAAGGAGTATAGTTCTATTTGGAAACTGTGAATACTACATTTTAGGCAGAGGTTGAAAAACCCACTTGACCAAGGACAATAAGAATTTTTCCCTGGGTTTCACTTCAGGGAAGAAAGTTTTATTCTTATTGTTGCAAAGAAAATGTGATCTAAATACAGGCAGTCCCCGGGTTACGTACAAGATAGGGACTGTAGGTTTGTTCTTAAGTTGAATCTGTATGTAAGTCGGAACTGGCGTCAGCCGCTGCTGAAACTGATCAGTTTCAACACCAAGGACAATAAGAATTTTTCCCTGGGTTTCACTTCAGGGAAGAAAGTTTTATTCTTATTGTTGCAAAGAAAATGTGATCTAAATACAGGCAGTCCCCGGGTTACGTACAAGATAGGGACTGTAGGTTTGTTCTTAAGTTGAATCTGTATGTAAGTCGGAACTGGCGTCAGCCGCTGCTGAAACTGATCAGTTTCAACCGCGGCTGAATCTGGATGCCAGTTCTGACTTACATACAGACTCAACTTAAGAAACCCAGG